TTAACCTGCTGCACCACCACGGTCCCTCTTTATGGTATTGAAAGGCGATTAACTCTTACAAATGAGTCTTGTGATTCTGAAAAGACAATAAAAGTGGATTTGTATGTGCTTCACACTGAATCCCGCCACATCTTTAAGAACAAGATCACTGTTGAATTTTTGAACTGTTTGAACTGCAAGCAGGTCAGGACCTTCCTCTGCCAGCAAACATTTGGGGAAGGATGAGGCACGCTGCTAAGGAGGTTGTGGGTGAGATTTTTTGGGAGGGGGGATTGTGTGTTTTAAAATGCATTTTAAATTGTATTTATTATATTTTAATTGTATGTTAACCTAACATATATAGTGCTATTGAATTTTTTTTAAAATTTTTATATTTGCTTTGTTTTACATTGATCAAAGTGTGTTGTTGCTGGTCACTTTAGTTTTCCCAGGGAGAAAGGCAGGACATTTATTTATTTAGACATTTCTACCCCATCCTTCTCAACCTCCGAAGAGGGACTCAAGGTGGCCTCCAACAGGCCACTATTCAACATAATAAAGCGCAGTCTAAAATACAGTTAAATACATTAAACAATTATAAATGTACATTAAAAAGTTTTCCAAGTTAAAATTGTCATGCTGAATCAATCCAGTGCAGTCAAATCAAGTCCAAATCAATCCATTGTGGTCAAATTGTCAGAAATAGCAACCTTCCCAAGCATCCACTAGTTATTTTGCAATTTTACCTTAACTCTTTGTAGTGAGAGGGGCTTTAGACAATGTGATTAGAACTGGGCTTGTTCAGGGCTCAGACTCCATTTTAGAGTCTGCTTCAGACGTCAGTGTAGAAACTGTATGCCTTTAGACACCAATGCAGGAACAGTTTGTTTTTGACGTCAGTAGGAACAGTATGTATACAGAAGCCATTCAGCTCCATTGGACTATGGACTGTTGATTCTATGAATTGTGCCCTGTGTTACCTACACAGAGAAACTATTTCAAATCCTATCTGTAAGTGGATTCATATGCAAAGTATTTGTATGTGGAATACATGAAGTTTGTGAGTAAACCAACTATGTTACTTTTAAAGAAGTCTGCTTATTTTTCTCTCTTGAGAGAATGCTTTAAAGGTAAATATATTTTAAGGGAGAGTCGGTATTTTTCATCAACTAAAGGAACACTTCTGAAGCTCTGCTATACACACACACACACTAGCGGTCCCCTGCCACGCGTTGCTGTGGCCCAGTCTGGTGATCTTGAAAATAAAGTAATGAGAAAGTGTTGGTTTCTAATATATGTCATTTCTTTATGCTTGTGGGTAAACAGTATTTCTTGTTGTTTCTTTGTCAGTGTTGATATAGACATCGTCTAGTTTCCTACTCTGGGACATGCAACATATAATTGTCCTTCTTTAGGGGTCCCTTTCAAATCTATGATATTATATCTGTCATATACGTATATGTGTGTGTGTGAATCATATATATTTATCTCTATATGTGGCTGGATGGCTCTTTGTCAGGAGGACTTTGATTATGTTTTTTTGCCCTGGTGAAGGGAGTTGTACTGGATGTGATCAGTGGTTGTCCAAAAGGTTATGAATCCCATTTCCCAAATGGTTATGGAGGTTCACATTTTCCAAAATAAATAAAGTAAATAATATAAAATAAATATATTTCCTGTTATTGATAGTTTCTGATACAGGTACGTCTCTGAGGGCTCTTTCACACAGACTATATCCCAAAATATCCAGCCTGAAAATCCCACAACATCTGCTTTGAACTGGGTTATCTAAGTCCACACTCAGATAATGTGGGATTTTCTGCCTTGATATTCTGGGGTATAGGGCTGTGTGGAAGGGCCCTTACAGTAGGGGCAAAAATGAAGACAGCTGCCAGCTGACTAAATGTGATGATCTCCTCCAAAGCAGAGCTTGTTGAAAACTGTGTTACACACCAGCTCCCTGGAGAAGAGAAGCTGCGGGAAATTACAGTAGCACCAAAAATGAATAATTGAAACAAAGCGCGTTCAAGATGTGCATCAACACAAGAGGCCAGAGTGCAGCCTTCTAACCAGCTGGCAGTGCAAAAACTCACAAAGAAAGTGCCCGATAGAGAAATTTCTCAGAAGAAGCTGACCCACTTTCCTAGGAGCTTTGAGAAGGACCCAGGAAGAGGTCACTGCAAGGACTGTGGCAACAGAATATTGGATCTGGCCAGCAGCATCACAACCAGAAAGCAAATGAGGGAGTGAGGGAGACAACAACAGCAGGAAAAACAACACAGGGTGTATGTGAAGGATGTAACCTAGTTAAATAAATAAACACAAGATTCCCTGGGTTACAACGCCCTCTCCCTTAGGGATTTGTTAATTGCTGGAAAATTGGTGCATCGCTTGGTTTTCCTCAGCTTTCATCAAACAGGACAGAATAAAGCTTTGCCTCCCCACACGATCTTGCATTACAAATTGAGTTTCTCCACTGCCTCACACCCTCTGGGTATTTCTACTAGCTTATGATTTTCCATCATGCAAAATACACCCTTTCCCCAATTTTCTTTCAGGGGACAAAAAGCTGGAAGGTTCTGGGAGAGGGAATAAAAAGCAGGAATAGACAGACACCCCCTCCCTCCTCGCATTGCCTTGCCTAGGATGGGTCAGAGCAGCACCACAATGGGGACCTGGCTTGCTTCTGCAAGGCTGAAGATGTGCTCTTCTGTGCCACTGAAATGAATGGGATTCCAGATTTTCACAATGCTGTAGAAAGGAGAGACCGCGGCATTTCCAGGTCCCTCTTCTTCAGCAACCATTCCTTACCTTTTTTTGCCTTGAAGTAAGTGCTGGCAAGCGAATGATAGATGATGATAATGTATTATTCCCCTCTCCCTGCCTGCAATTGCCTGCCTCTCCATCCCACAATCCACATTCTACACGGGTTTGAAATCCACAGGTTTCATCAGGAATAATAATAATGATGAGAATAATACTACTAATAATGTTGCAGTATAGTGGTATAGTACAATATAATAATATATAATACCAATATTGTGCTATGCTAATCATATAATAGCATGTTTTAAACTGGGAAAACTGTTTTTAAATGTATATTTATTATAATTTTATGTAATTGCGTATTTTATTGGTGTTTTTATATTGTTGGAAGCCACCCTGAGTCCCTCTTCGGAGGTCGAGAATAGGACGGGATACAAATGTTCTAAATAAATAATATTGTATATACATATAATATTATTAATAATATTATAATGAAATACAATATGATACTAATAATAATACACTGTAGTAATATGTAATATAATAATACTAATATATTAAAGATGGTACTATGGACAATATATAATAATATGTAATGATATACTGTGTTTATTATTGTATATTTGTATATTTTAAGTTGGAATGTTTTTGCTCGTGAGCTGCTTTCAATCTCCATCTGGAGAGATAAAGCGGGATATAAATTAAAATAAATAAATAATAATAACAAAACATTCCCCTATCCCTGGGTGCTGTTTCCTTCCCCTCCAGCCCACGGTTTGCATTCTACACGGGTCTTAAGCCCATAGGTTTCATAATCACTATCAATAATAATAATAATATCATTATTATTATCATTGTTATTATTTTCCTCTTTCCCTGTTTGCTATTGCCTAGCACCCCATCTCATCGCCCACATTCTACACGGGTCTTAAGCCCATTGGTTTAATCATCATCATCATCATCAATAATAATAATAATAATAATAATAATAATAATATCATTATTGTTATTAATATACTGCCACAAAAACACAGTACGTCACAGCAAACGAGATATATATGTTGGATTTTGTATCACAAAATCACAAGTTGAACACTTCCCATTATTGTTATCATTAGTATTATTTTCCTCTTTCCCTGTTTGCTATTGCCTAGCACCCCATCTCATGGCCGGCATTCTACATGGATCGCAAGCCCATAGGTGTCATCATCATCATACTAATAATAATTTCCTCTTTCCCTGTTTGCTATTGCCTAGCATTCCATCTCACAGCCTGTATTCTACATGGGTCGTAAGCCTATAGGTTTCATCATCATCATCATCATCATCATCATCAATAATAATAATAAATCATTATGATTATTTTACTCTTTCCCTGTTTGCTATTGCCTAACACCCCATCTCACAGCCCACATTCTTCATAGGTCTTGAGTCCATAGGTTTCATCACCACCACCACCACCACCATCATCATCATCATCAATAATAATAATAATATCACTATTTTTATTTTCCTCTTTCCCTGTTTGCTACTCCCTAGCATCCCATCTCACAGCCTGCATTCTACACGGGTCTTAAGCCCATAGATTTCATCATCATCATCATCATCATCATCATCATCATCATCAATAATAATAATAATAATAATAATAATATCATTATTATTATTTTCCTCTTTCCCTGTGGTTATTGCCTAGCATCCCATCTCACAGCCTGCATTCTACACAGGTCTTAAGCCCATAGGTTTCATTATCATCATCATAATCAATAATAGTAATAATAATAATATCATTATTATCACCATTATTATTATTATTATTATTATTATTATTATTATTATTATTATTATTTCCCTCTTTCCCTGTTTGCTATTGCCTAGCACCCCATCTCACAGGGATCTAGTGATTTCACCCGCCTAGAACAAAGCCCCATAAAGATCAATCATGCACCCGACTGGCAAACCTGCCTTCCTTAGCATCCCATTGATGATACACCCCCCCCCCCCCAAATTTCGTAATGGCCCCCTCCCCCTTTTCCATATCAATCATTCATCCCAGGAAGAGACCACTGAAGGGGGCGGGGAGAGGATGCAGGTGAAGGGGTAAATGAAGAGAAGCGGTGGAGAAAGCTGCACCCCCGATTTGGGGGAAGGCAGCCCTGGCCCCCCAGCCTTCCTTTTCCCTCCCTCCCGCTCTCCCTCCTGATGCGGGCCAATGGAGGCTGCCCCAAGCGCGGTTGCCGGGGTCCTCGGTCTACCTGCTGCTGCTGTAGGGCTCGTTGGAGCCGGGCGCCGCGGAGAAGGAGGGAGAGGAGGAGGAGGAGGAGCTCTTGCTGCCACCACCGCACTGACAGCTTTGGAGGGAGGCAGAGTGGGCAAAGGGAGTGGGAAGGCTGGGGGACAAACCCCGCGGTCGAAGGAGGAGCCGGGAGCAAAGGAAAGGAAAGGAAAGGAAAGGAAGGGGGGGGGGGACTCTTTCCGCCCTAGCTCCCCCCTCCCTCGTTATTGGTGGCTTCTGGGGCTCCTCCCGACAAAGCCGAGCCTCTGCTCTCCCCTTCTTCCCTCGCCTCCACCTTCCAAGATGATTGCCACTGAATATGGAATTCTTCAGATTCAACAGGTGCAGCGGAGGCGTCACTCCTATGTGTCACCTCCAGACCTGACCATCAGTGTTGGAGCTAAGAGACAACCAGATACAGTGGAGACATCTGCCCTTAGAATCCTTGAGTTGGAAGAGACCTCATGGGCCATCCAGTCCAACCCCTTGCCAAGATGCAGAAAATTACATTCAAAACACCCCCAACAGATAGCTATCCAGTCTCTGTTTAAAAGCCCCCAAAGAAGGAGCCTCCACCACACTCCGGGGCAGAGAGTTCCACTGCTGAACAGCTCTCACAGTCAGGAAGTTCTTCCTAATGTTCAGGTGGAATCTCCTTTCTTGTGGTTTGATGCCATTGTTCCGCATCCTAGTCTCCAGGGCAGCTCCCTCCTCCCTATGACTTCCTCTCATATACTTGGCCCTTCTCATGTCTTCTCTCAGTCTTCTATTCTTCAGGCTAAACACGCCCAGCTCTTTTAGCTACTCCTCATAGGGCTTGTTCTCCAGACCCTTGATCATTTTAGTCACCCTCCTCTGTACACATTTCAGCTTGTCAACATCTCCCTTCAATTGCGGTGCCCAGAATTGGACTCAGTATTCCAGGTGTGGTCTAACCAAGGCAGAATAGAGGGGTAGCATGACTTTCCTGGATCTAGACACTATGCTCCTATTGATGCAGGCCAAAATTGGCTTTTATTTCCCGCTGCATCACAGTGTTGTTTCATGTCTAACTTGTTGTCCACGAGGACTCCAAGATGTTTTTCACATGTACTGCTCTCAAGCCAGGCATCCCCCAATCTGTATCTTTGCATTTCATTTTTTACTGCCTAAGTGGAGTATCCTGCATTTGTCACTGTTGAACCTCATTTTGTTAGTTTTGGCCCATCTCTCTAATCTATTAAGATCATTTTGAATTCTGCTCTTGTCTTCTTGGGTATTGGCTACCCCTCCCAACTTGATGTCATCTGCAAACTTGATGATTATGCCTTCTAACCCTTCATCTAAAGATGTTGAACAGGACCGGGCCCAGGACGGAACCCTGCAGCACTCCGCTTGTCACTTTTTCCCAGGATGAAGAGGAAGCATTGGTGAACACCCTCTGGGTTCATCTGCTTCACCAATTACAGATTCACCTAACAAACATTTGACTAGTTTGTTTGCCAGAAGATCATGGGGGACCTTGTTGAAGGCCTTGCTGAAATCCAGATATGCTACATCCACGGGATTCCCTGCACCTACCCAGCTTGTAACTCTATTGGAAAAAAAGAGATCAGATTAGTCTGGCATGACTTGTTTTTGATAAATCCATGTTTATTATTAGCAATGACTACATCGTCATTATCATCATTATATTTATTTATACCTCGCCTTTCTCCCTGTGGGAGAACTAGACAGAACTGGACAGAATATTCCAGGTGAGGGCTGACTAAAACCTGATGGCAACACTTGACCCCAGCTGTTGCCCTCTTTGAGAGCGAGAGTGGTGTAGTGATTTGAGCATTGGACTACCATTTCCCACTCGGCCTTGGAAACCCACATTGTGTAAGAGGAAGACAAAGGCAAATGCCCTCTCAATTAATCTTGCCAAGCAAACCCTGTGATAGGTTCTCCTTTGAGTCACCATAAGTCAGAAATGTCTTGAAAGCACCCAGCAACAACAAATTGCCTACATCCAGTCAGAACAGCCAGTGTGGAGATGCAGGTATAGTCTATCACATCCGGAAGGAACCTAAGCTGAGGAAGTTTGGGTTAGAGTGCTGCAATATATCTTCAAGTCATCATTGACTTTCCAAGATAAAAGTCAGCTTCTGATAATATCTGACAATGAATTATTTCCCCAATGCATTAAATATTGATTTCTGTTTCTGTTAAGTTTCTAATTTCTGAAATAAGGCTCCCTAAAGGTTTTTGACCTTGATTTATGTACAAGTGTGGTTTTTATCAGTTCATATGTAATTTCTATTGCAATATGAATATGGTATATAATTACACAACATAAGAAGGCAGCAGGCATGCAACACCATGTAAACAAACTTCCTTTTGTATAATAGGACTTTTTCTCTTCTCCATGTGTGTCCACCAAATTTGCTCCAAAGGATTTCCCCAACCCTCTGGTGAAAATGTTGTGTGAAAATTTGTAAAAGAAGAACCAGTATGAGATAATGGTTGGTTGAATTAGGAATTTGGGAGTTGGATATCCTGCTCAACCATCACAATGGGCTAGATGACATTGGGCAAATCATACTTTCTCAGCCTAAGAGGAAGGCAATGAGGCATCATAAGTCAGAACTGGCAGTGTAGCTGGCACTGTAGATTTATATAATCCAGTTCAAAGCTGATAATCTGGGATCAGTTTTTGGGATATAGGATAGCATAGATCCAGACAGAATGAGGACAAACAAATTGATGCAAAGGCATATAAGGGAACAGGATTCACCTGATGGACTGACAAAAGAACACATACAGAAATTTGGCAGCTTCTGTGTTCATCTGAATTGAGTCCTAGTCTTGATGACCAAGATTATTTGGTTGCCAGGAGGAAATTTGAGATCTCTGATACAGTTTTAGCGACACATGTCTCAATTATATACCATATGGATTACTGCCACATACTTTATATGAGCCTTGTGGCTTTTTGATAAACAATATTCTCCCATACGAGTCTTGAGGAGAAGCCTTTTTTGTTTTGGTTCCTGCTACAGATATCTGGTGGGAATATTTATTTATTTTATATCTTGTCTTTCTCCTAGCGTGGAATTCAAGACAGCAAAACAGTGCTTTAAAAACACAATACTGCACAATTTTAAGTCTCTTAGTATTAAAGTTAAAACACAGTTAAATTAAACTTCGATCTTAAAAAAACACAAATAAAAACACATGTAAAATGACATTTAAAAGATGTTTAAGACATAATAAAGTAAAAACACTTTTTTGTCGTGTCAGGAGTGACTTGAGAAACTGCAAGTCACTTCTGGTGCGAGAGAATTGGCTGGCTGCAAGGATGTTGTGCAGGGGATGCCCGGATGTTTTGATGTGTTACCATCCTTGTGGGAGGCTTCTCTCATGTCCCCGCACTCTCCCCAGATTCGAATCTGCCACCTGTCAGTCTTCAGTCCTACTGGCACAGGGGTTCCGGTAAAAAAAAAACTACACCCCCCCCCTTAAAAGCTCTCTTTTGCCGCAACATACTAAAAACCAAATGCTCCTTAAATAAAAGATGGAAAAACAATGTGTGTGTGTGTGTATGGGGGGGGGGGGAGTATCAATTGGACTTCCAAAGAAAGAAAGTTTCACAACTTGGGAGCAACCACCAAGAATATGGGGTTATATGACCCCTATAACCTGGCCCAGTCAGTTGTAGCATTTTGGATCTGCTGAAGTTTCCAAACAGTTTCCAAAGTTAGCCCCACACAGAGTGTGTTTTAGTAATTCAAATGAGATGTAATCAAGGCATGAATCACTGCAGCCAGATCTGACATCTCAAGGAACGGCAGCAGATGGCTTACCAGTTTTAGCTTTGCAAACACAATCTTAGCCACCACTGAAATCTGGGCACCCAGGCTCAGTTATGACTCTAGGAATATGTCCAAGATAGGAATTCGAGATTACAGAAGAAATGTAAGCCCAGCCAACACAAACTGAATCTGCCTTTCTAATGACCAGGAGTGTTTCTGTCTTGTCTGGATTAAGCTTCAGTTTGTTTCATGCAGCTAATCAATAGCAAAACCAAGCCGCAAGGAACCCCATGGGCCAATGGCACAGGGACCAAGCAGAAATCTTCCAACACTACCTTTTGAGATTGCCCCTGCGAGAATAATTGCATCATTGCATAACATTGCCTGAAGTCCCATCCCATAAAGGTGTCTTAGAAAGATACTTAGAAGGTCAACAGTATTGAAAGTCATTGAGAGGTCCAGCAGAACCAATAGGGACTCATTCCTCCTGTCTGATTCCCTGGATAAATCACCTTTACTTGTGATCAAAGCTGTATCTTTGTAATTATCAGGCCCAAAGCCTAACAGAAATTGATCCTCAGTGGTTCCCAACCTTTGGTTCTCTAGTTGTTTTGGACCAACTTCCAGAAATCCCAGCCAGCTTCCCAGCTGTTAGAAATTGTGGGAGCTGGAATCGAAAATAGCCGGAGGACCAAAGGTCGGGAACCACTGATAATCAGTTTCAGCCATGAACACTTGGAGTTGAGAAACCACCACACACTCCAGACCTTGGCCAGAAAAGGAATATTAGAGACTTATCCAGTATAGTCAGGTTTGTTTTTTAGTAGGGGGCAGTAGTTACTCAAGATTTCAGAAAAAGGCCTTCTTGATAGTTGCTCTAGGCTTTTGAATTCCTTTCCCAGGAAAGTTAAGCTGGCTCTCACCTTGTTTTTTTTTTCAGCTAGCTGGTGAAGAATTTTCAAGTTCAGCAAGCTTTGGGAAACCAACTGTTTATATGAACATTGATTTTAATTGTTTTTATTCCTTTTCAGTGATTATTATTTAAATTGTTTTTGTGTTATACGTAATTTATTTACATTTTAACAATATTGTATCTGTTCAGATCTGCTTTAAGTTTTTTAAATGCCTTGAATCCTTGCTTTAGGGAAAAGGTGGGATATCAGTCAATAAAGACAAGAACCCAGAGTGGCTCCAGTAAGGGGATATGGGCTGGAGAAATTGGAACAGGGCTAGGTAGAAACTGATGGGACAAAGCTTTCCCACGATGCCTTCATAATCAAGAACTATATGTATGTTTACTTGGGCTTCTTAGCAAACTCTGGGTCATTCAGTTGAGGGCAAAAGTATGATAGCTGGGACCCAGTGCTGGTAGCACTATGCTGGTTGTGCA